AAATTGTCCCACTTCTCCGTAAAGGTCTGTATTTAAGTCATCGGGATAAGACTACACTAATTTCTTAGATGCCTTCATGCATTCTTCAGCAGGTATATCCACATTATTTAAGAAGGAAAATCTAAGAAAAGGGAAGAATTTCATATGCTTTCACCCTTGTTTTTATGTAAGATTCAAGCGTGTCAATGATGGTGTTCTATGTGGTCACATGAAATTAATCTCTGGCACTCAATGATACTTCTGGAGCACTTCCATCATTTTCTGTTTTTTTTTTTTCCCCCTAATGCTTCCGCGATCGTGAACTGCTTGATAATCACTATTTGGCAGTATTTGTTTTGTTGTGTTTTCAAAATTTTCAAAATCTTCTCTTACATCATGTAAATATCCTGTTAACGACTGGTAGAGATCTGTGCATGTCTTTAAATTTATTTCTTATTGGAGAGCTTGACTTCTCCAATGAAAATGTAGCAATTTATTATTCCATATAACCAACATAAATACCTACTCTAGCGTTAGCATTTTGCTGGCGATGTTTTCAGCTTCTCTTTTGGTATCTTCCTTTCTGTGTCTGGTCTTCAGTAAGATTTTCTAAGGCCCCTAGAATCTGGGCATACGATTCCAGGATTGCACTCATCGCTACAACATGCACTTCCCAACGTGTATAGAAAGACATTTTAATACTTGATCGTTGCCTAAATATGTTTTAAGAACGGCCCATTAGTGAATAGAGGAAGCAAAAAACGTGTAGAGTAACTGAACCATAGAAAAAAAATCAACTGCTTCTGGACGACAATCTACTGCTCTACATCCTACAAGATTAAGTGAATGTGCAGCACACAGTATGAGAAAAGCATATTCATTATGTTCTAAAATTTTCTATTGCGTGCCTTTATAGTGCACTGACATATTGGCAGCATTGTCATAGGACTGGCCTCTGCACTTAGAAAAATCAATTTTTCAAACTTCACATGAATTGTGAAGTACTTGATTTGCAATTTCTTCACCAGTATGACTTTTTAAGCTAGTAAATGTGATAAATCGTTGGACAGGTTTTTCATCTGTTGGAGATGTGTATCTTAAAACAATAATTGCCTGATCTGTATGAGAAAGATCAGGAGTGGAATCTACAGACAAACTAAAATATCGAGCAATACTTATTTCACTGAAAATAGTTGATCAACTTCTATCACTTACTAAGTTTATTAATTCTTCACACATTGTTTCAGACATACACAATGGGTAGCCGTTTCCTGTGTTACCATATTTTGAGATGTGGCCTGCTAAAAATGGATCAAACTGAGCAACAAGTTCAAGTAAATCCCAAAAATTTCCATTTTGTGGGGCTCCAAACACTTCATTTCTCCCCCAAAAAGACAGTCCACGTTCAGCGATTGTTATAATGCAGCAACATGTCGCAAAACGACTTTCCAATACTGACGTTCTTCATTAATTTGTGTTTCCGGTTCATGAGTTAAGCCAAAACCATGTCTTTGGTTTAAATATGACAACATACAATCTCTGTGAATTGAACTGTTTTCATGTTTATCAATCATATTCGAGCTGTGCCAATTGCTAAACCCATCCATAGGAAATTGAGAATTAAATGATTTAGGACTGAACAGTCTGCAAACAAAGCAATATACAGAGCTGACTGATGGAGACTATAGTAGCCACCCTCTCTTATAATTTTCACCATTAGTTTTGCACCCTAAAAATATATTCTGGCTACAGAACTTTGTTTACCATCCAGAAATTTTCGACATGAATTTTCAGTTGGTCCACTGTGGTTGACCATCAATTGGCCCTCTTTTGATCCAATAATTTACATCATTAGAAGTAAATTATTCCACAAAACAGGATCTGTATTTCTGTTATTTATGGGATCTGCAGATGCACAATTTCAGATTCTAAAATAGTTTCACTTTCTACACCATTAACTTTTTTACTACAGGAAGGAATGGATGCAGAATTTGGAACAAATTCTGTTATATTTCTATTGCTATTAGTATTTTCAGCACTAGTGGTACTAGTACAGCATTTGCACCCATTAAACTGGAGCATTCAGTGGAAGAGGTCCCTTCTGATTCGTTACATTTTAAAAAGGAAGTTAATTTTGGAATTGTCTTTAGGGATTCACAAATGCTTTTCTTTTTATCTTCGGCAAGCTTTTGTTTTTGTACTCCACTTAGTCATTGTCATTTCATTTTACCTGGATATAAAATTATGTCACTTTATAAATTTGGTTCTACCATAGCAAACAAATTTAATAACTGAAAATAAAATTTATAAAATAAAATTTACATTAGAATTTGTATGTTAACAAAAATTTATATTTGAAAATCAGTAAGTAAAAAAAACTGATTTGAAACATGTAATTTTGTTCTTCAGGTCTGAGGTCTTCAGGTCTTACAAGGCACTCGGAAATAATTTCATTTGTTTATCATATGATGTTTGTTGGCGGGCCCTTTGCAAATCTCCACAAGTATTTTTCATCTTGAAATAATACTTAAAAACTTGTGCACACACTTTCCATCTTTTGATGCTACGTCTTCATAGTTCACTGGACTGCTGCTGATACCCAATGGGGGCGAGAGCAATTGCAAAGAGCATCATACAAATACAAGAGTTTGCCCAATCTGAAAACACGTTTTGGTTTGCCTTGTGTAGGACAGGCCTTCTCGGCTGGAACTGCCGAATCAGCAGACGTGGATGTACAAGATGGTTCTCTCAGAATGGATCAGACACCTGTTACCTATTAATATAATACGTCCTTGCCCAGTAACTGCTCATGTTGGATCCAGTTGCATATTGGGTGAATGTAGCAAGAGTTATACTCGACAGTCCACCCCCACCTCTTGTTTATTAGAAAGAAAATGAGAACCACCAATATAAGGAGTTTCAATTACACAAGAGGGGACTGTAGTAGACAGATGTCAACGAAGGTGTTGAAGTGGTAGGGGCCTCATAGCTTAAACAACCTTGCAGGTGGGTGACCTCATGACCCTGCATGAGCTTTATTTCCAGACAGCACATTCTCACGCACTGGAGCTGGTATCATTTAGTGCCCTGCCAGTTCCTTTCCACTGTGGGGCTCACTATCCCTTGTGTCCTGTCTGTTTGGTATCTATGAGTCTTTGCTTTGGACAACTGGTGCCCATTTTGTTGATGTCCTAAACACATGCTTATCTTGTTTATTGGGCAATCCGTCCCTGGGAATAGGTTACTTTAATGAGGCTGTAGCCCTAAGACAGAGTGCCAACCCTTCAGGTGGTAGCCAAAATAGAACCTGAAGATCTGTAAGAATCTAAAAGATACAATATACTCAAGTGTTCTTTCATCTTGTTTGGGGGATTTTTTTCCTACAAAATATTTCTGAGAAATGGCTTCCATTTTATTGCAGGATACATACTCTCATTCCACTAAAAGCATGTATGGACACGCATACACACCCTCTCTCACACACACATACAGATGCATAAATATGTGTCAAGATTTCATATTTTTAACTGTAGAACCTACATTTATTCCCCTCATTCCCAATATGTCTACCTAAATAGCAAGAAGGGAAAGTGGAAAAGGAATTAAAATTCATTCTTGCATTTTTTGGTAAAATTTCCCATAACCTCCACATTTTTTTGGAACTGGGTAGAAACAATTATTGCCGTAATGATCAATATGATCTGGCTTAGTGCTTACTTTCACCAATTAATTCCAAGACAGAAAAATCAATCTTTAGGGCACCACTATATCTAATTAAAGGATTTCTTCTATCTGTAAACTAGCCCCATTGAGTAGCATAATTTTCATTGAAGAAACTGAAGTATGTTTTAGACTCAATGTTTCAAATAGTAGTATAATTTGCCTTGCTAATGGCAAACGTTACCACCTCTTTCATGCTTTCCTAAAGTACTTTCAAGAATTGTTGCACTAACTTTAAAAAGAAAAAAATTGAAAATGATCATTGGTTAAGATGGATCATTTCATCATCATTCTTTTTGACATACTATCTTCTAGATTACCTGAATGGGAACAACGGCAAATGTTGTCATCACCAACTTCCTATTTCACCATAAATAACTTCATTCTTCTGCCTTTTCCATTTTCTCTATAGAAACCATAGAAGCTACTGAAAACAAATACCCCAAAAGGAGCTACCATTTCATGTCAGTTTACAGAAAGAAGAAAACAGAATAGATTTTGTTTTACTCCTAATACACATGTCTGCTTGGGGCAAAGTGGCTTTTTGCTTCCCATGCAGTGGTTACCTTCTGAGGAAGGTGATAGTAATCCTCTTCTTACATTGATTCATGCCACTACAATAACTTCTAGGTGGGTGGAAGTTATAAAAAGAACAAGAAATTAAATAAAGAATAATAAAAAGAGAAGGGATGGAAACAGGAAAGTATTGAAAAAGCTATGGTAAACAAAATCAACTTCCAGTAAAATTTTAAAATAATAAAATGAAGCAGTCAAAAAAGAATATTAAAACAAACAAACAACAATCTTGGAAGAAAATTAACTTCAAGAAAATAGAAATGCCTGAAGTTGTGTCAATACTATGGTATTCTTTTCCAGAAAGTCCAGAACAAAATGCTGAAAGTCCCTACTGGTTTGTTCCTATCTCAGTATGCATGTTTACTAGCTAAAGAAGTAGCTGAAAAATAAGAAACATTAAGAAAGATTTCCAAATACTTATGATTAAAATCCAAAATGTATGAATAATCTAAAAATGCATTTTTCCTACTCTCCTACTCTATTGAAATAAAACTTAAAAGTCAACATAATTTTAAAATAAATTTTCATTTATATACATTAGAAGCTCCATTTTCCTTATTGCCTGTTACTCCTGGATAGTAAATTGGGAGTTAAGGGTGGCTCAACAGCTCTCTCTTTCAAGCCACTACAGTACTATTTACTAAAGCTAAAAGTTATACCACTACACAGAGAAAAATATCATAGAATCGACAATGCTCTAACTTGCAGAGCTATATATTTCTTACCATGTCTTTTCCACCTATGACCTCTTATAGACATGCTGGTTACTGCATTTCTTGATATTCTAGAGGAAGTTGGTGTAATTTCAACTTGAATACACCTTGTGCCCTCCTTACTAGATTTCATGGCACCATGAGGCAATGAAGCCTTTATTGCATTAGCAACCTACAAAGAAAAAGAAATAGTTTAGGATTGATATTAACAGATGTATTATTATATCCTTAAATAAAACACAATGCTAAAGTTTTAAAATGTTTACAAAAAGTAAGAATACTCTCTCCAAGATATTTCATAAGATGATGCATAAATTCTCTACAACAAGGAGTAAGAGCTCAGAAGGAAACTTATAGCTAAAAATAGCATGTAAGTGATGAAGTTAAAATTTTCAAAATATTAAATTAGATTTCCAAATGTCTAATGTTAATTAATAAAGGCAGTTAAACTATGTTAAGGAGAACACTCCTATAAGTTAAAAAGACTATCAGGTATCTAGGAAGTCAGTCTAATGAAATTTTCAAATTTTATTATATATACCTTTTCGAGTGTAAAATTTTCCTAGTATTATGGGAGCATGAATCACTGAGAATTAATGATATATTAATGCACTATAAATGGCTACTTCTCAATTGAGAAATTTTAAGTTATAAAATTTACATAAATGAGGTACTTACCAGCAGTGGCTCTGGATATAACTCCAGCTGGGCTCTGTATATAATATCATCCAATGCTTTTTGAGCTAGATCCCATTCGCCCTTGTAACTGTAAAATTACATGAATTAAGTAAAGAAAGCATATTTTTAATTAATTCTATATAACTGAACAAAATATAATGAGAAACTGTCTTTGAGAAAAATAACAGATCATATTAGCATATTGCTTAGCATTTCACTCTTACAATTGTATTTTTAAATCTTTGAATTTCTTTCAGTTCTATCTGAAAGCCTATTAACAGCAAAGAAAATTTTATAGATGTATATTTCTTCTCTAAAGAACATCTCTATTTATAGAACAGAAATCAAAAAAGCTAAGACAATTTCAAAGCATTTTATACTTTCAAAGCAAGTCAGAGCATAACAAATTATATACCTTAGAATTATGTTCAGAACACTTTATAGCCAAATTGTAACTCTGTAACCCCCACAGTTTTTAATAGAATCTACAACTACTGTGGCTTGCAGTATTCTAAGGAGTTATTTTGCATTCTGATAGTCATTTGCAAGTGTACATGATGTATGTTGGAAATATCAGAGAGGTATCAGGAAAAATGTAGATATAGATATATACGTATATATACATACATAATTTTCAAAGAAATGGCCAAACTCTTCATGAAAATTGGCTAAAGGACAAATGAACAGAGATATATTGGCTTGACCATCTGTCAACAAGATTATGAAATACTAATTACATCAAGTGCAAGTGATGTCTAGAAAGGTGGAAAGAGCATTGCTACCACCCCTAAAAACAAGATAAAGCCAGATAAGCTACAAAATCATAACTTTTTATGAACTCATCAAGGAGTTGAGGTTATAGGGCAACCAAGGAACTTGTAACTTAAGGTGTCTCTACAGACTGGCTGCAATGCAAGTGAATAACAAGAATTCAGCTAAAACCTTTAACAAATTACTAAAAGCCAAGTGTGGGCTAGCGTGAGAACACAGAATCTCTGAGACAAGCTACATGGGGAACTCAAACCCACTCATAGCTCTGTCTCCCCAAAACTCTTTAGGCATTCATAAGAGAAACTTGGGCAGGGTGAGAGACCAGAGAAAGCTTCCCTTGGTGGTACAGGCCTGAAGAAGAAGAGTGGCCACCCATGCAGAAAAGACACAATGACCCAGCCAGACCCTTCTCCCATATGAGCAACAGTTTTAAGCCTTTGAGGAAAGAGTCACAAATACTTTCACCCCCAGGGCACAGATGAAGACCTTATGGCTCTGAGGGAAGAAAAAGAAATTAAATCTCTACCCCGGGGGGAGGATCAGGAAATCATTCAGTACTGGGACCATCAGATGTCTCCTACCACTAGGGGAGGATGAGGATCACTGAGAAATTCCTACCTGTGAGATGCAAGAACATAGGGACTGCCTGAGACTGAAGCTGGACTAGGATAACAGAGAACAATCCCTACCCCCATCCCTCCCACCAGGCTAGTATACACCTAGAAACAAGCAACAGTAGTCTACTGTTGGAGGAGGGGCAAGAACATGGGGAGAGACCGTTTCTAAGATGCAGGCAGACAGGAAAGGATGAATGTTTAGGATTGATCAGGGATATTGAGGAAAAACCCTCCAGCAATCCAGTCTCCATCTTAAATACAAGGTAACACTAGAGGAATTTGAAGTAGGCAGTGTCCTAAAGGTAACCACAGTAACAACAAAACTCAGCCATGAGCAGCCTAGAGGAAAAATGGCATGTCCATTTCCAGGCATAAATATTTGCCCCCAATCTCTATTGTCCTACTTATGAACAAAATCATGATCAATTAAAAATTACAAGACACACAAAAAGCAGGGGGAAAAAAGCTGCTTTTCAACCCACTGTCAAGAAACAAAGCAATCAAGAGAACCAAATTCAGAGATGATCCAGATGTTGGATCTATCAGGGAAATTAAAATAACTATGATTAATATATTAAAGTATAATAGAAAAGATGGGCAACATGCATGAATAGATGGAGATTTCAGCAGAGAGATGGGAACTATGAGAAAGAGTCAAATAAAAAGGCTAGAAATAAAACACAGTAACATAGATGAAGGGTGCCTTCAATGAGTTCATTAGTAGATTTGATAGAGCTAAGAATAGAATCAGTGAACTTGAAGGGAGACCAATAGAAACTACTCAAACTGAAACACAAAGAAAAAAGGAGAGAAAATAAAACAGATCAGAGCATCCACAAGCTACAGGAAAATATTAATGGTCTACCACAAGGGTCTGCAAACTTTTTCTTAAAGGGCTAGATAATAAATATTTTAGGCTTTGTCACAACTACTGAACTTTGTCATCATAGCATGAAAGCAGCCATAGACAATATGTGAACAAATGGGCATGACTTTATTTATTTACAAAAAAAGCAGCAAGCTGATTTGGCCTGCAGCCCATAAACTTTACCTTCAGTCAAGAAGCTTATAGTCTATTAGTGAAAATTAAAGTATCAGGTAAATCTAATGAAAAGTATGGTAAGGTATGTGCAATAAAGGAATTACAAAGTAAAAGATAAGGTTCAAAGAAAAATACTATTATCTAAACCATTTGGTATGACTGAGCACCAATATTAGAAATTAATATAAACTATTTCTGACCAAAGAAACTCTAAAACATTTTTAAAGCTAAATGTATGGAAACTATTCCTTGGAATAGGCAAAAGACACTCATTGGGAAAAAAGGCTATTTGGAAATTATAGCAAAAGAGAGAGTAATGAAGAAAGAGATTATGAGTATGTTTAGGTTTTACCAATTTTTATTCTGTCTTTGAATTAAAGAAGGAAGAGGAAGTGTTTTAGTTACAAATTCTTCAGGAGTTTAAAAGATATCTTTTAAATAAAATTATTATCAAGATTTTGATTATACTTTTACATGAAAATATGCTGATTATGCTTATGTATTCACATTATAATATAGTAACAATAAATTAACAGCTATAATTGTCCAAAGAGATCAAAGGCTTATATTGTATATAAGATAAACTTACAAGGCAAAATAAATCCCTGTTAACATTTGCACCATGAATTCTGAAGAAACCGGTATCCTGCTACTTATACCTTTGTATTTTCTTACTTGTTGTCGAGGATATCCACAAACACAGATTCTAGAAAGACCAAAATAAACATATTTGCAAAATTGGTAAAAATTTGGGTAATTTTATTTTTAAACATTTAAAGCCAACAATGTACTAGGTATGCTCTCATAACAAACCTAACATCTATGAAAAAAAGAACATAATTCAAAGAAAGTATCGTAAACAAGATGAAATGCAAAGGAGTACTGAGTATAGTGAGGAATATTTATAGTTAAGGAGTACTAAAGCTAAGGCGTATTTACTATAGTGAATAGGCAGCCACCTAAAAGTCCAACAGATGACCAATTATGTAAATCATTCATAGAATACTATGAAACAATTAAACATGATGTTTTGAAAGTCTATTTAAATAATAGAGAAAAAGCTGTGTAAAACAACACATGAGCATAATTCCATTTTGTGATGAACAAATAGGGGTATAGCACATGTCACTGCAAAAAAAAAATGTACAAAGTCATAGAGTTATCTCTGAGCTGTGGGAGTATAGATAACTCTTATTCTTTATATTCATATGTATTTTCTAAATTTTCTATGATCAATATGTACTGCTTTTACAATAAAGAATAAATTTCCACTTTTAATAAATATCTAGTCAGTCCAGTTGCTATTGAGTTGATTCCAACTCATGGTGACCTCATGTGTGTCAGAGTAGAACTGCGCTCCATAGGATCTTCAGCGGCTGATTTTTTTGTAGGTAGATCCAGGCTTTTCTTCAGAGGTGTGAGGAGTGTCCAAGTTTGTCTTAATTACTTCCACAATTCATTACAATCAGAAAGTTAAAAAAGGGATGGGGCACATTTGTCACTGAATTTAGTTCAGATATTCTATGATATTTTTTCTGGTTGCATTTCTGTATTTTCCCTCCTAGATGACCCAGTTAAATCATTTTGGCAGTCTTCACAATCAACCCTAATCATCATCAACAACCCAATTGAGCAGTAATCTAAAACAACTGTCACTTGGACAAAAGGACTGAATTAGTCATAACACCGTGTGATCATTTTATACCTAATTCTTCAGAAAAACCTGCACTAGTACTAAGATGATTAAGAAGGCCTGGTACTTTAACTATCATAACCATTTATGAGTTACTTATCATCACAGTTCTGTAATCAATTTTCTTTCCATAGGTATGAACTATGCTTAGCTTGATTAGACAGAAGTGTTTTCTAATTATTTTCTATTCATCTTTAAAATGTACAAAACATCCTAGTTAGAATATTTGATAAATGATTAAGGGAACCAGGAGTTAAAAGAAATGAATAACTGAATTTCAAACCACTTTGAATACAGTAACAAGGAATTTTATTTAAAAAAAAAAAAAAAACCTAAACAACTAAAAAAAGACAGGAATGACAAATTTGATGGATTTCCTCTTTTATATCATATCCTGTGGCTAAAGAGTTAGCATTATTTAAATAGCTCGAGGCTTTTTAGTTATTTATCTCTCTTTCCTCTCTTGTTGTCTTACAACAAGTGAACATTCATACAGAACTAGTTTTTCTTGTGGCGTGGAATTAATCTAATATGCTTCTGCTAAAACTTTCCGTGGCCAAAATCTTACAGCTAGTTTTTAAATAACCTGTATCTCTTTGTTTTTAAAACCAGCTTTTACTTGGGATCTTTGTTAAAGGATTATCTAGTCTCTTGGTTAAGCAAAATTGGAATATTAGCAATTTTCTACTCAGAACATAAAACCCATTATATCAGAGGGCAGTCCGTGGGAATTACACAGCTAGGACAGAAACCAACAGCACATGTACTTTCCTAACTTTTCCATCAGTCGTTTCAGGAAAACATCAATAGTGGTTCTTATTAGGGGGGTTGTATTAGAACATTTATGGAGCTTAAAAAAAAAATATATAGATACGTGCATTTCTGGGTCCTGCCATCTAAGACACTTCTTCAGAGTAGAACCTGGGCTTTGTAGTGTGTGTTAAGTTCTACAGATGAAAACTGCTACATCAAGTTACTCCATAAATCAGTTTCTGAAATGTTGGTCCTTACACCTGTTTTAGTCCATAATAAACTTTTCATTGGACCATAGTGAAATGAGAAACAAGGAAAGCTAAACTGATCCCATTTTTAATTTACAAATTGTTGTCCTTCCCTTCCACCCTTCCCCCTTGTTGGTGTTTCAATAATCTCCCTTTTGTGAAATAATGTTGATGGTAGATGTTAATAATATAATGACCCATTGCCGTTGAGTCGATTCCAACTCATAGTGATCCTGTACAAAAGAGTAGAACAGCCCCATAGGGTTTCCAAGGCCGTAACTCTTCATGGAAGTAGATTGACACATCTTTCTCCCGTACAGCAGCTGGTGGATGTGAACTGCCAGCCTTTTGGTTAGCAGCCAAGCACTTAACCACTACGCCACCAGGGCTCCTTAACCTCCCAAGGCTGCATTATTTAAATCACCTTCCCAAATCCAAATTATTCTATAAGTTCCTGAATTTTGTATTTTCTCTTATTTGTTCAAATTACCAAAAGCATTTTCTCTCTCTTTTTTTTTTGCTATTTTAAGAAAGGTAACATCTTCATCACAGATATTTAGAGAATCACAGAAAGTCACAAAGAAGAAAAATTAAAATAACCCAAAATTCCACCAGTTACAGATAATTATTGTTAATAGTCTGGTCATATTTAACCAGTGCTGGAATCATATTGGAGCCCTGGTGGTGCAGCGGTTAAGAGCTTGGCTGCTAACCAAAAGATCACAATTCGAATTCACCAGCCACTCCTTGGACACCCTATGGGACAGTTCTACTCTGTCCTACAGGATCACTATGAGTTGGAATCAACTCAATGGCAGCAGGTTTGCTTTTTTTGATTTTTGGAATCATAGCATATATACTATCAATAAGCATTCTTCTAAATCAGCATTTTAAAAAAAAATTTACATAGTATACCCAACAACTATCATAATTTATTTAACTAATTCCTTGGCTCAATTTTTTTAAACAAGGGTAGTTTAAAAGCCAGTATCTATTTCTTAGTACAAAATTAGAGTGCACTTAAAATAAAATAAAACAAAACAAAAAACAGAATGAAACCAACCACATGCCCAAAACTGAAAGGTCATAATAGGTCCATCCTATTAGATATCTAGTATGATCCTTTTCTGATATGGAAATATTCCATTTCAATGTTATTCCCCTTTAAACTCTTCAGCATGTTTTTTGTATCATTTATAGGCAGATTTTTGTGTTTCGCAGGCTGAGTGTTACATTAACTTATTTGATGTTTTAAATAAATGACTAAACAAAATAAAAATAACCTAGGTATATAACAAATTAGCAATTCTAAATTCATATATTTTAAAATTAAAAATACTTGAATTTTAATTTACCTTGAATAAATTTGACACAGTGATTGAAGAGAAACACTGGGCATATGGGTTAAAGCAGCATTGTAACACAACAAAAGGAATGTCAATACTTCAAACCTAAAGATAAACCAAAAGAATATTCACAAATCTTTAGAATTATAAGTCGACCATAATTGATCAGCCATTAAGGAAAGATAACTATATTACAGAACAGGCCTCTACAACATAATAACATCAAAAACAATACAAAACTAAAAGAAAAATGAAGAGTTCTCAAGTAATAGGCATACGAAAATTATCTTACAAATATAATCTTCCAGTTGACATTTGCAGCAAAGTAACAAGTGACAAGTCTGGATGATATGTTTTTGTATAAAATGACTCAATATCCAAATAAATCATTACATAAACTCATTAAATGTTATTTATAAATATGCTGAAATAATTTTTTAGAAAACCAGTGTGGTTGGATGAAAAATAATGTCTCCACAGTGTACCTATTCTGGGCTGTTAGCATCTCCCTTTGAGGATGAGGTCCACTGTACACAACTCTCGACAAACCATGCTGGGATAGTGCACTCTCAGTCAGAGCCATGGAACCAATGCTGGAAGGCTAAAGAAAAGACATTTGAATAAAGAAAATAGCCATTCTGTTGAAAATGTATATATACCACTAAGAATGGTTACCATGAACATCATATATCTTAAAAATAAATATTGAGACTGCCTACCAAATTTTCTACAGAAAGATTTTTAAAATAACTAAAAATCAAACCACAAATGAGAAATAAAAAATAACTCAACTTCAAAATATTATACCATGGCAATATACGATTGCTCCCCCAAACCCCCCCGAAAAAAGACAGACTAGCTTTAGCCATCACAGGGAGAGAGAAATATTTCAGAAAGAATACTTTAAATAATCTCTTACTATCAGATTTTAGTTTAAAGTTAAATGATTTTGACTTCTTATTTCACTTTGAGAACAGTAAACACTTTGTGTGGTGTTTCGTACTTTTTAAATTACTAATAAAATGATCAACTTTTTGCCTCAATAGCTAGACCCCAACCTACGGCAACTTCAAAACTTAGGACCAATAAATTTACTTTGATAAAATGTCACTTACTTCATGATATACAGATGGTTTGGATAAAGATGGAATTGTAAAACTTAATACTTTGCTATGTCCCTCTTTGTCAACTATTTCCTACAAAAGTGAAAGAAAATATCTTAAAATATTTATTTTTTACACACAAATTTAAAAGTTAAATTTAAATTTAAATTGCTAGCCTAAAAAAAAAAAAAAAACCTGAATACAAAGGAATTTTAAAGTCAACTAGAATCTTAAACCATGATAATCCATTATCAAGTATTCGTAAACACCAGTATTTGAAATGTGCATCCTCCCACTTTTAAAATACAGTATTAGTAAAATACAGTTTTCTGGATGGCTAAGATACAGATATAGTGCCTTAATAATTAGTGATTTTCCTCATGAAATAAGTCATATTTTCTAAATCAATTAACATAGTTGTAAAACATGTCAAGAAAACAACTTTAAATTTCTTTTCCATTTCCAAACTTTTTGTGAAGATTAGAAACAGTTAATTCCTAGACAATGGATTTCAAATTTTAAAAACTTAAAATTTGACACTGATATTTTCAGATACTTCGATAAAAGAAGTGAATGGTCTCACTCTCAGCCTTCAATCAATTTAAAAAGGTATATTTATACAATTATATATATGCATATATAACCCCAACCTCAATAGTTATTTTTGAGAGAATGAGCTATGACTCATTTGATGTATAAAAATAAATATTAGCTTTACTAAAATGAAAAATAGTGGTAAATCTTAAAACAGTTCTGTTAAAAACAACCATGTTTACTACTGGTGCAGGAAAAAGAAACAAGCAAGGAAAAAAATGTTTTGGGAATTACTATTAAGGTGTGTATTTGCTTTTGATGAAAAACACTTTGTTAACTACATTAAATACAAACCAAATTGTAAACTCCTAGAAGAAGAGCTTCAATGCATCCACTGCTATGCACATTTCTGCTGGCTGAGACTGCAAGGTAGCACCAAATCAGTTCTGGGAGAAACTGCAGTGTAAATTGAAGCAACTGTTCCTCTCCACTGCGATAGAATTCAAAGAGCTGGTGACAGACAGGTTCTAGCAACTGGAAGAAATACAAAATGTTAATTCAAAGACTGGACTGTATTTGACTGACAATGGTACAAGAAATATAAAAGGTTTCCCCTGATTGATAATTACTTAAATATATAAAAGTTCACATTTTTTTAAGCAAAACTATTCACTGCTAAAGCTATTTAGTAAATCTTTTGAACTCTAGTGGAAGGTCAAACAGTACAATAAATATGTTCAGGGAGGGCTTCTGAAATATGGTCATAATTCTATTTCTTGGCCTGGGTGATAGTACACTGCAGTTCATTTATTATTGTTCTTTAAACATATACATTTTCTTACTCTTATATATGTGTGTGTATATACATATATATATTTGACAATAAAAATTCTGTTTATCAATCAAGTGAATACTTTGTTGCTGTTGTTAGTTGTCATCAAGTTAATTCCAGCTCATGACAATCCAGGTGTGTAGAGTAGAACCGCTCCCTAGGGTTTTCAAGGTTGTGACCTTTCAGAAGCAGATCGCCAGGCCTGTGTTCCAACACACCTCTGGGTAGGTTCGAACCACCAACCTTTTGGCTAGCAGTCAAGCGCTTCACTATTTGCGCCTCCCAGGGACCCCTAAATGAGTACTACTAGCATAATAAACCGTAAGAGAACTTACCTCACTTTGTGGCTCCTGGATAACTTTATACAGAGATGAAACTAAAGCACTCTTGTCTTTTAAATTTGTGGCATAATTTGATAAAGATGTTTCTGGTAGTGCCTAAACAAATTAAAAACAAAACCTTTTATTTATATGAAATGTCCAGAACAGGTAAACCTATAGAGAGAGAAGGAAGATTAGTTGTTGCCAGGGGCTGGGGGGAGGGGAAAATTGGGAGTGACTGCTAACAAGTATGGGGTTTCTTCTTGGGGTGATGGAAATGTTCTAGATAAAATTAGATGACAGTAATGGTTGCACAACATTGTGAATATACCAAAACCCATTTAATTTTAATTGCACACTTTAAAATAGTGAGTTTTATGTTATGTGAATTATGTCTCAATAAAAATAATTGCAAAAATAAAACAAATACATTTTATAGTCTTATCGTCAAGAGGAGCATAAATTAACATCAACACTTCATCTTTGATCACAATTTGGGGTTAAAAATAAGAATATACTAAACCATGATATTTAAAGCTAGAGATCTAATTTTTGTAGAATTATATGTTATAAATTTCATTAGCTGTATTGATCCAGCTTCTTAATAAGCATGTTATATCAGGATCTGATAATGTTTCAAACCTAAAAGCCACTGGAGATCATCTGGTCCAAATAACCCTTGAATTACATATTCTGACTGTTAAGCCTGGTAAGGCTGTTCAATTTTACAGAATTAGGGGAAAACAGACTCCTCAGAACTGGAGAAAAAGATATCCACACTACCAATAAACTAGTTTTCCTCTTGTTGTGTGCCGTCGAGTTGATTCCAACTCACAATGACCCTATAGGACGGAGTAGAACTGCCTGCCCCATAGTTCCCTACGCTGTAATCTTTACAGGAGCAAATCTTTGGGTCTTTTCTCCCACAGAGCTGCTGGTGGGTTCAAACCTCCAACTTTTCAGGAAGGCCATTTAAAACATGGTTCCTGGGTGGCAAAAGTGGTTTGCACTTGACTACTAACTAAAAGGTTGGCTGTTCAAACCCCCCCAGTGGTGCTGTAGAAGAAAAGCCCAGCAATCTACTTCTGTAAAGATTACAGCCAAGAAAACCCTACAGAGCTCAGTTCTAGTCTCTAACACATGGGGTCACCATGAGTCAGAATCGACTTGACAGCAACGAGTTTTGTTCTTTGGTTAATCACAGGCTGCTAGCACAACCTGTCCAGAAAGGATACAAGGAACAGAGAAGAAAAGGGGAAAGAAAACTCCAGTGGTAAGTCTGATGGTTTTGGGTAATAAGCAGTGAAATTTGAAACAAATGTTTCATTATAACAATTGATAAAAGCCTATCATTCTGGAGCACACCCCTCCTTGATAACATTTGTTTCCCAAGTCATTAGTCCTTCTCATCCAAATTACTTCCCTTAAAAAAAAAAAAAAGCTAATTCTGCAGTAGATACCATATCTGAAGATGTTCCTAACAGTCATTTCAAGATATACAGTATTTACTTGTTCCATATCCTAGTATTTCATGATTTAATACGGGTTATGGTTAGTGTATGTATTTATTTGAATATATGTATAAATAGACATAGGAAATTAAACAGTTTGTTTTCATAAAAAGCATATTCGGTTCACTTTTACTTTACTGTGGGCTCCTTGAGGGTAAAAACTGTCTTATCATCTCTCCATCTACAGCACTTAGCACAATGCCTCATAGTCAAATCTTTGTTGAGGGGATTTATTATAAATGACAGAATAAGAAATCAAAATCGTCACTGTTTACAGTTCAGTAGATTTTTTAAAAACAGGTCATATTTTACCTTAGGATATATAAGTGAATAGACTCTTTTTAAATTTAATGAGACTTTGTTTACCAGAATGGAAAGTAAATATGAACTATTATTTGGGAGCAGTCTGCCAATCTCCAGAAAGGGGGTGGGGGGATAGTTTCACTGCAACTGCTCACATAAAGAAGAGATTAGGGCATTCTTCAATATTTCAAAAGCACATAACAAAAGATCTCTAGGCAACATTCCATTTCTGTCATTTGATCAAGAGTAACCTAATACTGAGGAAATTTATATAAAAGGAAATAATAGTCAAATAAACACACAACAGATTTCTAATCTCCTGAATGGAAATGAACCTAAATTATATACATAAAACATTTTATATCTATATATAGATGAGTAACTATAAAATTTAAGAATGATAAGTGAATTGGAATATAAATCTTAAAAATTATTAGTGAATACAAAGATTATTATCATATTGTAAACTCTATCTAGAATAAAATTGAAAATTCAAAAAAACATGAATTAAAATGTTCAGTTTATGTATCAATTAACCCTCAGGATGTAAAATATTTCCTGGGAAACAGCCAAAGGCAAAAGGACACCTCTTTGCTGAAAAGTCAAGCTCTGCAAAATACCCTGAATTTGGGCTACTACTGCCAAATGAGAGGAAAGGCATCTTAAAAATTAGTGCAGTGAACTAATACATTTTATTTGCAATTCTGTCATTATTTCAATTTATGAATGTGGGAAAAGTTACTTTTCTCTATAGATGGGGAAAAGATATAACTGCTGATTTATGAACAGTGCTTTGAAAAACTTAAGTTCTAAAAGGGCCAATGAATTTAAATATTATTACAGCAAACAAAAATTTTCTTGCCACTGTACTAGTTCAAAGATACTGGCCTTCCTAAATACCAGTTAAGCTTTCCCATGTTTCAGAATGCAGAAGGAACTGGAGATGAAAAAGTAATAATGGAAAATTATGCTGAGAAGTTAATCTTGGCAAAATTTGAAGAAAAAGACAGATGCTTCATATTAAAGTATCCTTTGGCAGATGGTTTAAAAAAATGTAAGAGGGTGATATGAGTTGGGTGGGAGAGAACTAACGAAGATGGACAGATGGGTGGAGAACCAATAAACAAAACAACCCTGTCCAATAACATTACACATAAGACTGGATTTTGAGTCACATATTAAGATTCAGTGACTACTAGAAAATCGAAACAATTAGGAGCCTGGAAATCTGCTAGAAAAATACTACACACAGTATCAAGAAAAACACAAAATAGTTTGGAAGATAATATTTTACAAATCTTTGAAAAGATAGGAATTGAATTATTCACGAAATCTTAAAATAATTAAGTCCTATTCTAATCACTTTGTTCTTATATAGAAAGAATACTAACAAGGACCCACAGCTAGGGCAGATACTGAACAATTTTTCCAACGGCAGAGGAGGGGGAATTTACAGAAAGCAAACTGTGTTGCATCTGTGCATTTGATAGACTGTTGAGTGAGGCTGTGAGGTTAGGAGTTCTGTAACCATGTAACAGTGTAAAGCTAAAAGAATCTTCAGACCACCTACTTCAATTTTTTCTGATGAGGATATTGAGACCCAGAGAGATTATCTGATTTGTCCAACGTCATAAAACAACATAGGGGAAGAATTAGCATTAGATCAAAGAGTTTATGACTTCCAGCACAGTGTACTTTACAACCTTGGCCTTATTAGCACCATGGTTATTAAATTAAACAACCAAGCACAGGCTTTTCCAAAAATATGTATGTATCCCAAAACCTCCTTTCTTATTTCATATTGTAATTTAACACCACAAATCATTTCAAAAAACAAGTTACTCTAATTTAAAAATTACTTAACAGATTTATTCTCAAGTTTCCCACCTTCTATTACCTCTGTATGCTACCAATTTTGCCTGATAACTTAATCTCTTTATCAAACACAAACACAGCTGAATTTAACACATAATACACAATTCAGAGTAACACTCAAAACAGTTTTCAGGAGTGTCTACCAAGTTAACCAAGGTATAGAAAATAGCTTCCCTTTAACTGGCTATAATACAGACCTAAAGATAATTTAAAACATTTTATACATCAAATTGATTGACAATTGGGTAAATTTAATCTGGGCGTGTGGAACTAAATTAAATTATTTTTTATGAGCCTCATTATTTCACTCCCCTCCCCCTCCCCAACAGAAAAGTTTCCTTACCCTTGAATTAAATTCATAAAAGTGTTAATAGTATTATTACCCAGATAATATGCATTATATTGATAAAAGAGTATATTTAGATAATATTTTCCTTTTATTCATATCCTGGTTTTCAGAAAACAAGGTCTGGGTGCATGATGTACTCATTGCTACTAGAGTGTTATTGCTTCTAGGCCCTCTCAGGGAACAGAGATAGGAAAGATATGTATGCATACATGTATGGACACACATGCATAAATATAAACATATCATATAAGTATATATATTTAAAGCCCATAAGTTCATACTGATTCTTCCAATTCTAATCCAATACCTCAGGGTTCTTTCTTGCCTTTCCCCATTCTGTTTGTAATTCCCTTCTCGGACAGTGAGAAACAGACTCTCATTATCCTCAGTATATTAGTTATTTGCTCAATTAACTTATTTGCTCAATGTAACCAGTCTACTGGCTGACTCTTCTACATACCACCTCTGCAACCCTTTGCCCCCACAACCCACTTCCTCAGACACAGGAGCACACTGCTGCCAATACTGTCACACTGCTACTCACCCTACTTCCTAAGGAGTCTATATATCCATGCCAGGAGGAGAAGGGAATGAAAGAACAGATGAGAGGGGAATGGTCTCAGTCATTTTTTTTTAATTTTATTGTACTTCAGGTGAAGGCTTACAGAACAAATAGTTTCTCATGAAACAGTAGTACACATGTTGTTTTATGACATTGGTTAACAACCCCACAAC